CCCCAAAACCCCAAAACCCCAAAACCCCAAAACCCCTAATTAGAGAAATATTGTTGAAAAGGTAGAAAATATACAAAATGGAAGAATTATTCATTCACTTCAACTTCTTCAACTTCATCTTGGTCTTCTTCCTCTTGATTGACCTCCTTCTTAGGAACTATCTTCACTGTTTTCAATTGACGAGTATAGAGGTAAAATGCGATGACTGCTACGAAATTTGGAATGAAAATAATCCCTAAGCTTAGGCTTATGTACTCTTGAAGTCTACACAGAGCAAGAATATATGTCGCAAGGAAACCTATTGGTACTCAACTTGATATCACAATCTTCTCGAAAAGTGTCACATTACGGTTTTGAGAGGTAATCCCATGTAATATGGTCAGAATGGCTATTGGAAGAATCACTATCCAAGTAGGAATTGTAATTATGAACCAGTTTAAGTTAATAACCTCATCTAATCTCAAAGCTCATAGAGAAAGGAAACCTCCAATCAGTAAATTAGGGAGTATGATGGCATGTAATAAGCCAGAGTCAGAACATCTGTCTTGCTTAATTTTGAATTCAGCTCCTGTTGAGAAATAATATTTCCTCCTAGTTAGTCACCAGTAGCGCCGGGTATCCTTATACTTGATCTCTCTTGGGTTAGTAACTGGAGGAGCAATATCACCATCTTCTTCTTGCTCTCTGAGTGTATTTAACGAATCAAAATCTATCTCTCCTTTGAGAGAGTTTTTTAGATTTTTTATGAGTGTTGGCCTAATCCTTCTCGAGCAATCAGTTTTGTGTCTTATACTTGAAAATATGGAATCAAGCTGTTTGAATCAGATCAGTAAGCCAACAGGAATCCAACAGAGTAAAATCATTGTCATATAAGAAATATCCATGAGGATCGTAGTTTTGATCAGGATCCCAGGATAAATTAGAATTGTGAAGAGGCATTTTAAAAACAAAGCCTTGCTTAAATACAAGCTATAAGGCCAGAAAATAGGATGCCGGAACTTCCTTCCTTTAACTTTTGGTAAAAACTTATATCTTAGTATCGTTCAAAGTTCAGTCTTTATTTTTCTTCTCACACCTTTTGCAATAAAGAATAGATAAATTGTGGCTCAGATTAAGAGAATCCAGCTTAATGTGAAAGGCAAGAAGATTAAACCCAGAGGAATATCAACTATCTCTTCATCAATAATCAAGAGAACAGGAAACACTAGCAAGGACATGAACAGGAAGAAGAGAAACCATATTATTATTCATAATTTTTGTTTCCACTTTCCATCAAGTAAAGCTCTGAGGGCTTCTTTATGAAGATGTCTGAGCTCGTTATCAATTCTTAAGAGGTTTTCTTTCCTGATGTACTCATAACCCATTTTGATTGTGCTTCTTTTGAATACCTTGATATTCCAAATATCGCTCTGTTCTTTAACTTTTTCCAGCATTTTCTTGTTTGTACAAGCCAACTTTCACATAGAATTTATATTCAAGTGATATCACACCATCTGCATTCAGTTAAATGGAAGATCATTAAGGATATTTTTCTTTGATTTTAGCAGAGATTTCACGTTAGTAGCACTATTCCTTGACATTTTCTGTAAGCTTTGGCTCTTATCATCATTACTGGTTGCAAAAGAATCACAGCTTTGGCCTCCTTTGAAGAGATTTTTTCGAGATCCACTGGATTTCATGCCCTCACCCTTCTTGATTTCCTCGCTACTTCTACCTATTGATTTTGTAACTGAATCATGTCTCTTTGTAGCTGTGTTTTGCACTACTTGGGATTTATGTGGAGTTCCTCTAAATAAGTCAATTTTTGTGTATAGCCTTACTCTTCATGATCAATATCCTCATTGGAATTATATACATCTTCATAAGTAGGTTCTTTGTATTCTCTGGCTTGATTTGACTTAAAATTATTAGGGTGATTATAAGAGTATAGTTTCTTATCAGAATTGTTCCGAGGAAGTTCAAATTTTGTTTGCTTCAGATCTTCCAACTCCCTTATTTCATGATCAGCATGCTTAGTTTGGAAGTTATGGGTCTCTCCATAACCTGTTTCTCGGTTATCTATTTCGTTCTGAAATCTATCCCCTGTATTCCTCAAGGCTAAAGGCTGCTTTATGATCTTGCCAGCATTATTCTGGTTCAGTATTGATTGGTTATGAGGGAGATCATCATTGTTAGGGTTATAGAACTCTGATCTGTCAATGCCAGGTTTTGTAGCGTTATAAGACCAATCATTCTTAGAGTTATCTACCCCATCTCCAATCTGATACTCTTTGGAGTTGACATATGGATCTTCTTCTGAAAATAGCTTATCTTTCTTCACTTGAGATTTATTTAAGCTGTCTCTTTGCTGGCCGTTACCTTCATTAGCAAGTTTAAGATGACTCCGATCTGAGTGATAGATCGGTGAATTATTTTTAGACATTGGAGCTTTCAGTTTCAAATCTAATTTATTCGAGATCGAAGGTTTCTTGTGTGGAGTATTAGCTTGAGCTCTAATATTTCCATCTGTTTTCATATGCTCCCTCTTCTTCTCCTCAGTTAGTTGTGAAGCCATAGATTTATTCTGGAGTCCTTCCTTTCTCTCATTTAACGGTACATCAAAGTTTTGATGCCTATCAGAGGAAAGAGCACCTCGGTTTTCTGCCCACTGAGCTTCAGCAATTGCATCAAGGCTTTTCTTATTAAACTTAGCAAGTTGCTCATCATTTAGATCCTGAAAAACTACCGATAAAGATTGTGAATTAATCATTCTTTCAATTTCTTCCTCCTTAGGACTTGCTATTGGCTGATCCTGCCGTAAAGGAGAGGCAAGCATATTTTCAGCTTCTCTTAAAGTGTTATCCTCCTTTACTTCAATAGTGGGATCTTTCTTAGAAGTAGGCGAAGGTAAATGGCTACTGAATTTGTTTGGAATTGACATTTAAATTATTTTTTCAATTTTATAATGATCTTCTGGGGTTTTGGGGTTTTGGGGTTTTGGGGTTTTGGGG